ACTTTCGACATTCTGTTTTTCATTGCCAATTTTCAAATCGACTCCCGGTGGAATCTAACGGATGAACAAAATTGACTTTTCCTTCTCACAGTTTCACTCCTGATTTTATTTCCCGTTTTTAGTGTTGTATACAAATTGAGTGTTATGAACCCGTTATGCCTTTCAGGTTTCGACACGTTCACAAAAAACTAGAGCCGGTACACAATTAATTCAGTAGCGAGGTGATAGAGTGAGACAAAAAATCAACATTTTGCTTATTCATCGATTTATATCGGAAACAATCGATTCGAGGTGAAAGCACTCAAGAATTTATCCGTAATTCATTAAATTTTCGATGAAAAAGCCGTAATTTTTGTCTCTAAAATTAATTTTTTTTTGATCAAGCAATACTTAAAAAAAAATATCATCTCAGTCTATCATTTCTCTATTAAATTGGTTCCGTGCCTCTCCACTAATGAGCTTTTGATGAATATTACCGAATACATTTAATAGTTCTTCATTTCCGTTACAAAAAATACCCATAAATTATAGAAATTCCGCTATCTCTCTTTGATACCCAGGAAAAAAAATCCACTTTAAACCGAATTTGTATCTTCAGTAATATATTTCATATTTCCCTCTCTGATAGCCTTAGAAATCAACCGTTATTTTACTGAGAGGAAAACTCTTTCGATGAAAAAAGAATTACCTTTGAAAATCCACGTGAAAATAGGGCCTACTCGCTTATCAATTAATAATATCGTGGAATTCCCTGATAAATACTATCGTTCTCACACAGAGAGAAAATAGTCTTCCAACAGGATGAGATTTTCTTGTCACGCGAGGGATTTTAACTGCTCTCAGGATTAGAAATTAAGTCTTCTCCATAAATTCATGTAATTTGCGTTATACGCAGATTTTTTAAAGACTTTGATTACATAATACACGTCATAAAATTCATAACATTGACCATAAATTTTCTATCCACTTGAATTAATAATTAATAAACACCGTTTTACCAAAACTGACGAGAAAATTCACAAAGAGAAAAATTTAGTTATATTAAGAGTTTTAGAATATTCAAGATAAATGATAAATTTATTTTTCGTTTTTAATTGAACGTTTTCAATTGAAAGTTAATTCGAACTGAGATAGTTGCAGATTCATATGATATAGTAATAAAACCCCTATCGTTCACAGAAGCTGCCGATGACCGCTCAACGAATGACAGACGGCAATTGAAAATTGCGGAGCAATAACATCGATCTGTCTCAACCCAGCGACATCACACTGTCTACGTCATAAGAGCCTTGGCCGAATTAATCTAGACATCAAACGGGCATCTGTACCGAGTACAGCCCAAATATTATCGAGTTTACGGAAATAAAATAATCACTATGTCCCGTGAAATAGAGCAGATAACAGAGCCCCCAGGAAATACCACAGCGAAAAATTCAGATATCCTGAAATATCCGCATATACACGACCAGAATGCTCTTATTAATAAATCCACCGCCAAAGTTAATTTCGGTATAACAATGAGAGACACCGAAGTGCCTTCCCAGTTATCTATTCCACCAAAAAATAATCAGGAAGTTAGTGTGAAAAATTTACTGATTAATTCCCTCGTGAATTACGAGAGGATGCTGAATAGCTCACCAAGAACATCAACAATTCGTGGATCTGGTAATGATGGACGTGTCATTGCTACCTCTTTTATGGAATTATCGGTTGGTGTGACCTGTGGTACTCGTAGAGCTCGTTCAGAGCCCGGAAGTCTCTCGACAACCGTTATCACCGGTTCAAGGACCAGTGAAATTAATCATAAATGTTTACACGCCCCAACGCGCATTGCCAGTCTCGATGGACTCGATGCATTGGATACCAGGCAATCTCAAATTATTTCCACTCACAACAGCCAAAACAGTCACTTACTGTCGTTAAATGCGACGCCAGTCGTTGGAATTGTCGCATCACCGTCTAAGAACAAGTTGACGTCCATTTGGGAGAGTCGTAATACCTGCGGTGATAATGAATCGGGTTACGTCGTCGATCCAGTCCAGGGGAATACGTATTATAAAGGACCGTTTCTAGGCAAGGTAAGTCTTTATCAGTTATTTCAAATTATCAGAGAGCCTCTGAAAATATCTGTAAACCTCAATGCCTAAAATATGATTCCACTGCATTAATGATATTTTAGTTATAATTATAACATTCTGATCTTTGTTTTTCTCTTTTTATTGAATTATTTTTAAAATACAGATTTTTTTTATAACTAATCATGCAGTTATCCACAAGATTAAACTTGAAGTTTAATCGAAATAGTAACGAAGGAAATATTTCAACCGGCAATTAGATGAATTTCAATTATAATTTCAATTACCTTTCTATCGTGGAGAATCTGTAAAAATGCCATATTCGAACTCATGAGACTAATTAGTAATGCTCACTGATAAAATAGAACATTTCGAATTTGGTGAATGCAATTTATTCATTTGGATGGAAAAAATCTAGTTGTACATGAGTGTGTTAACTACTCTAATTTCTAAGAATAAAAAGAGCTCGTCAAACTCGTGTCGGAAAAGTTGTACAACTCGTCTGGGCTACTCATCAAGCTATCTTCCTCCCATAAGCTGAATCAGGGATGTTTTACCTCTTTTCCTGTGGGAACCCGAGGAGGGGATTCTTGATTCCTTTATACCTGCAGTTCTGCTCCTTTATCCACGCTTAGACGTTGGACGTTGACTCTTGCCAGTTCGATGCACCTTTTTTTGCCTCGACTTTTTTTTACCTTCCTTCGTTTCTCGGTTTTCTCCCTGTGGTTTCCAGCGGAAGTCCCTCCCTTCGTTGCACGCTTCTTCTTTGAATCCTTGTACTTGTATGGGTTTATTGTGATGAATACCATGGGAAAAACAATGTCCTGGAGGAATTTAATTAGGTCTAGGTTGGATGGAGATGAGTTCATCCGATTTATCGTCAAGGGCAACCGCCGGAACTTTCGTATCTTCTAGCAAATTCGATTTATTTTATTGTTGTTCAATTTATTGTCATCTTTTGGGTTCATTATTTCATTGTCAAGACATTGTTTGTGGGGATTTAATCAGGTCTAGGCTAAGTGTAAACGATTCAATTATGTAAGAGACGATTCGGTAATGAAATTTTAACGAGATAAATGAACTAGATTTAAATATCTGTCAGGCTGAGGAAAGAAAATTAACTTCCCAGAACAATAGTTTTCTTCTTTTATCATTTATTAATTTTGTTTTTATATTTTTCTAATTTCTACAAGCGTCCTTGTTCCTTGGAATTAAATAATTGATTGATGCCAATGGAGGCAGGTCTTCGAATCACGTACCGGGAAAATAATTCACTTTGATATAGGGGTCTTTGAGTGATCACTGTGGTCTCTTTTCTCGTCTCACGCGACGAATGAAGAATCTGAAAATATTTCTAGAGATATTTCGGGCCAAGGAAAGGGCTATTCGCATATGCCTAGAAGAGTTGGAGGAACAAATAGTGGGATTTCGAGGGTAAATTAAAATTTATCGTTGGGAGAGGAGAATTGAAATAGGAAACTTCACGGATAGACATTGACAACGGATATTTATATTTGGAGGGAGCACTTTGGAATTTAAAAACGAGAGATTTATATTCCTCAGTTATTTTTCAGAAATAAAAAATTCGATGAATGTCAATTTTTTCGCTATTTTAATAATTTTTTTTCTGGGAATTCATGTCTTGCGTTGAAATAGTTTAATCATTCAATTCTCAATAATTGAACCCATTGATATGTGTTTATTACAGGGAGGATTCGCCAGGGTATATCTGATGACTGATATGGCGAGTAGAAAGCGATATGCCTGCAAGATCATTCCAAAGAACCGCATGCAAAAGATTCACATCCAGAAGGTACAACCCCATCACCGAGTAATTCCCAATGGATTAAAAACAAAGCTATTGATTTTCGTTTTTTGTTCAATAGATTGCACGTGAGATTATGATTCACAAAGATCTGATGCACGTGAACGTCGTGCAAATGCATCATTACTTCGAGGACAGTTGGAACGTTTATATGCTGCTCGAAGCTTGTCCAAGAAAGGTAATGGAATTTCACCGATTACCTCTCTTAAATCCATATCAAAGACATGAAACAACTCAACTAGATAACTCAACATCAAAGTAGTTAGGAGATGAATTTCATTTGGAGATCAATATAAAAAATAATAAAAAAAGTTAAAGTGGCAATGGAAGTGTCCACCAAAATAATAATTGTAATAAATCAATGATTGAAAAAATCAATGAATAAATGCCAGGGGATTTATAAAAGCCTAATTATCTTCTAGTGCTATCAATAATTATCGATTAATGGAAATTAATTTCTGGTTATTGAAATTGCAGAGTTTGATGCACGTGTTGAAATACCGAGGAAAAGTAACGGAGCCAGAGGCTCGTTACTACATGAAGCAGATGGTGACAGGAGTGGCCTACATTCACTCCCAGAGAGTTGTCCACCGAGATCTCAAGCCAGGGAACATGTTCCTCTCAGACGGTATGATAGTGAAAATCGGTGACTTTGGTTTGGCGACAAGACCGGATGGTCAAAAGCGACGTGTAACAATCTGTGGTACACCGAATTACATAGCACCTGAGGTGCTTTACAAACAGGCTTACAGTTACGAGGCTGACGTTTGGGCACTTGGTTGTATTCTGTACGCATTATTAACTGGCCAGCCACCCTTCGACACAGCATCATTGAAAGAGACATACTCAAGAATCTGCAATAATCGTTACAAGAAGCTGAATGACACGATTGTCAGTAGAAATGGCCAGGATTTGATAAAGTGGTTGCTTCAACCCATTCCTGAACTGAGGCCATCACTCGAGACTGTTAAGGAGCATGCCTACTTGACGATGGAGTTTGTACCAGAGAAATTGGCGCATACCTGCTGTTACAAACCTCCAGAAGTCAGTCTTGAAGGGCCAATAAAGAGTAAAAATGATAAAACTCTGGTGCCCACGGCTTCATTCCCCTCAGCAACAACTCTGTCCTCGACTTCGTGCACATCAACCATCTCGAGGAAGATTGCACAATCACCGATCGAGCATATGCCAAAGACAGGAGTCAAGCAAATTGAGATACCAGTTGTCAATGGGGTGAGGTTGCTCGATAATAATGTTAGGTTGGGGGAGAATAATGCAAGACTGCCTGTTTCTATTCACCGAGAGAAGAGTAGGGAAGCTAAAGTTGGCAATTGGCTTGTTCGTAAGTTCCCTAAGCTCACTAAATTGAGAAGGAGATTTGGCAATCTTCTTTGTCCTGATAGAAAAAAAGCTTCTGAAAGTGCTCTTATGCATTATGCACTTGAGAATTGTCTCGCTGAGATTCGACACACGAGGGCGGCTAAGAACCCTCTTCCCATTGAAGGACTTGCTCCATTGTTTGTTACTAAGTGGATTGATTATTCCAATAAGTATGGACTGTGCTTTCAATTGTCCGATCGATCGGTTGGGGTTTTGTTTAATGACAGCACCAAGATGAGTTACACTCGCGACAGAAGGTGAGATCTATGGCTTTTATCAATTCTTACAGAACGTCAAAAAATAAAAACGTTAAAAATGAAAGGTGACATTTTCTTGACTTCTTCTTTCAGACGAGTGGAATACACAACTCCAGACGACGAAGTGACGCGTTACACCCGAGAGCGAGATGTTCCCTCTTATCTCCACGAGAAATTAGAGCTGCTGCGTCACTTCACCGAGTACATGGACGACCACCTGACGAACGGTGGTGAAATCAGTGATAACTGTTCAACCAAATTATCACGAAGGAATGGCTCTGTACCTAGAATGCGTCGCTGGTTACGAACTGACAAAGCCATTGTTATGGAATTGACAGTGCCTCTACTCCAGGTGAACTTCTTCTCGGATCACACGAAGATCGTCGTCTCCGAGGGGGCACGACCAAAGGACTATCTCGTCACTTACATTGACGCTAACAGACACACGGCGTCTTATTGGCTGAATGATCTCAGAGACGGTGGATGCACCTCAGAATTGTACGAACGTTTGAATTACGTTTGCAGGGCATCAAGGGAATTTGCACACCTGGAGAGCAACTTCGGATGCTCGGAGATCTCGATCAATCCCAAGCCTACACTCAAGGCTTGAGATTAACTCGTTTTCATGTCTTCCTGGGGCGTAATGCATTATTAGATATGTTGGATCCTTAGGCAATTTATGTTATGTTTTTTTTCTTTGTTTTGGTTTCAATGGCGGAATGGAAATTATGAGTCGATATATTTTTCAATTGTAGTCAATGGAAGATGCACTCGTTTACTTTTATTCCGCTGGTGAAATCATTCGGCTGTTGTATTGATGCGAAGTTGATGGAGTCGACTGCCACTTTGATATTGGGGCGAATGCTGATGACAGCAGGGACCCATTTTTTTTTCTTTTCGCTATTTCAGGAAGAATTCAGTAGCGAAACGTGAAACGTCAGATTTGATGGGTTTGTGGAGTTTACTGGCGCAGCTATATAGGCTATGAGATACTTCGGAGAAGATGACGCGGGATTTTTCGAGGGGAGAATGTCCCTAATAAACAACCCCTCGACATTTTCTCGTAAATCATTTTAGAGATAAGTCGGGACTCAACAATCTGTGGAGTTTTAAAAAATCGTTCAATTAAATTTGATCATGAATTTTTTGAAATTATCCACATTTCCATGTTTGGGTTCTGATAATTTCTCAGTAATGGCTGGGAAAGACAGGAAAGAAAATTTTGCAGAAAAAAATTTTGGCATTTTTTCGGAGAATAATTCCTGAAATCATTCATAATTCAGTAAAATAATCGTTTGCATTCAAGGATCTTTTCAGATACCTTTGAAATTAAAAGAGGATATTGTTATCATTCATGAATACTATACAGTGGACACCCATAATCAATCCGCGCTCTGGAAAGCAAACACATCGAATTCGTACTAAACGAGTACTCAAATGGAGTCCTTACTCCACCCCAAAATTCTGAGAATTTCAATGGGAAAGATAACATTTTGACTATTTATATTTCTATTGTGCTTTCTAATGCCTAACGTGGCGCTCCACTGTATAATTCATAATCACATGAATTTTTCTCCATTTCTGTAAAATTTCCAGACGGTCAGCCAAAATTCTCCCCAGTAACAAATCAATTCACCGTTTCACATTTTCATCTTTATAATCTGATGATTTCACGTTAACCTAATAATGTGTAAAGTTGTTGAAATTTATCACAGGAACTTTTTGCATCGCGAAACATCGTTAACAAAACGTTTCATCATCATCTTCTCGTAGACACTCATTGCAAAGATAATGCAGTATTTATCGTAAGATAAATAATTGACTTGTTACGTTTTTATTAATTACTGGATCAAAATTGGTTGCAATAACATTATGATCTCTGATTAGTCTGCGATGTTTTCTCACTAGTGTGTATAAATCCGTTAAAGAACGAGATCTACTAATGCTGTGATGATTATTGATTACTTAATTATTTCCCTGTGTATCGATCTAGATTGAATTATCATTATTTCATTGAATCTCGGTGATTCTAGTTGTTGAAAGGACGATGCAATATTGATTCGATCGCTCATCATGTGAAGCGACGCAATCGAATACAAAATACACGACACAATAATGCACAATGAGATTAATTCCAGAATAATGATTGCTATTTAATTGTATGATCATTAAATCAATAGGGAACTTGCGCTCTCCACTCATGTTTCTCGCACATGTGTTTACCGTAATTATTTATACGCTAGTATGTTGAAAGTTACTTCAATTAATGATATACCTGATCAATATTTTAACATCAACGATTTGGAAAATGAGGGAACAATAATTGCAAGTTCTCTACTGTATTTTCCCTTCGATTTTTGTCAAAAGTGATTAGATATCTTGTTTTCTCTTTCGTTATGTAGATATATTGTCTGTTTATTTTATCTACATCGAAGTGTTGACGAGAGAGACAGAGAATGGAGGAGAATATTCCTCGAGACAACGAAAAGGTTCTCTATGGAATAGAAACAGAACGAAAAAAGGAAACGAAAACCAATGATCTCAAATAATAATCAATGTTTCACATAAGTGTTTTTTTTACTTACCTCGGCCCTTACAGGATCAATCGAATTTTTCTCGCATTGAACTCTTCAACTTTATATCAAAGAATACTTTCAACTTTATTAAATCTCTACATTTCTTTCTCGTTCCTTAAAATCATCCATAACGTTCTTCTATCGTACAAGACTTGAAAATACTTATGATTCCATGGAATAATTTCCTTAAAACTCGAACTGCGTCACATAAATGAAAAGTTTAGCTACAGCACTTGCAGCGAATGCCGTATCGTGGTATATCTCCAGACTGAGATCGAGTTCAATTTCCTGTGGTCCAGGAAGACTCTTCGTTAAAACTAGAACAGCTTGTGAGGGCGAGGGTCTCCTCAGAGCGAAACACGATTCAGTGGCTCGAAGTACACCTGGTGGGGCTCGAGCATCCACCAGGGCCATGCTAAATCGCATGATTGATCCAGGGAGATGAGTTCCCCTCATTGTGAAGAGTTCCAGTTGACCGGTGCGAGGTATTGGAAGCATACTGACAAATGTTATGAAATTGTAGGAGAAGTGCGAGGGCGACTGATAACAGGCGATATCGCCGGATGGGCAGTAGCGAGATGCCCGGGTACAGCGGCTGCAAGAAGAAATTTTTTGTCACTTCACACTGTCTCGAGGTATTTACGAAACAATCAGAAATCATGATGGATTAAATCCAGAGTTGATTTTTCGTTTTCATCAACTCAGAGTTCAAATTCTATTTTATTCAAAATAAAATTATAAATTCGATAAATCTGCGATTGAATTTTAACAAATTGGAAAAATAGAGAATGGAAAAGATGAAAATTAGTAAAAATTCATTGAAGGTTCGGATATATTTAAAAAAAAATAACTTACTTCTTCCTCTCCTGATCACGGTGATACCCTTGTGGACATTGAATCCTATTACACTTGTATCCACCCCTGGTGTTCTGACACATCTCATTGGGATCCCTGCAGACGGTCCCAGCAGAGCACTCATCGATATCCTGACAGGTCCTCCCATCCTCCCCGAGCCTGTAACCATCAGGACACCTGCAGGAATAACTCCCAGGAGTGTTATCACAGAATCCCACACATAAATTATTATCCTTGAACATCTGACACTCGTCGACATCACTGCAGGATCGATTATCATGATTGAGGGAGTACCCCGGTTTGCAGAGGCACTTGTAGCTCCCCCAGACATTAACACAATCATGCTGACAGATTCTAGGGTTCCTCTGACACTCATTGATGTCCTCACATGCATTGCTACCGACGGCTTTCTCAAATCCTGCATCGCATGTACACTTGAATGATCCAACAGTGTTTTCACATCTACCAGTGGCACCACAGATATTCCTCGCGTAGATGCTGCACTCGTCTATGTCGATGCACTCCCTGTTGGGTCCAATTGCATGCCCTGGAGGGCAGGCACATGCATAACCCCCTGGACGATTCTCACAAGTCTGTCCGAATTTGCACCTGTGAGTGCCATCAGCGCACTCGTCGATATCAACGCAATGAGAATTAGTTTTTGAGTCCAGGGTAAAGCCAGCACCACAGATCACTCGTGACACGCATCTGTACGAGCCCATTGTATTGACACACTGCTGAAGCGACGACTGGCTGCAGGGATTCACTCCCAGTGAGCACTCGTCAATGTCAATACACTGACCACCGACTCCTGGTGAAAAACCCCTCGGGCATGATCTCTCCGGATGATTTCTCGAGTCAATAGCTGGAGTCATCATCGTCGTGGTCACTGGAGTGAATGGTGGACGTCGAGTTGTCGTTCTCGGTGGATTTTGCTGGGAACCTCGGGGGTTCTTGTTGCAACGGTACGAGCCCAGGGTGTTCCTGCAGTGGTAGCCCTCACTGCAGTCGTGAGTACCCAGCAGGCACTCGTCGTCGTCCTCGCAGATTTCAGTTGCTGCATTGAGAGTGTAGCCTGTGCCGCAGGGTAAAAATCTCACGCAGTTGTAGCTCCCCAGGGTGTTGTCACATCGCTGGGTTGGGAGGCAGTCGTTCTGGAGTTGACATTCGTTTATATCGACGCAGGCCTGGGGAATAATTTTTAAAAAATCGCTGTATTTATTCAAAGATTTCGGGTACAAACTGGACTTGATAATACTTCATTTGTCCTGGGCCAACTACTCTATTAATACCTGCGTCAAATTTTCTCGTCTGAATCCAGTGCGACAATTGCAAACGTAACTCCCCACGGTATTAACACACTCCTCATTACTTGTGCAGATATCTTCAATCGTTGAACACTCATCGATATCAGCACACCCTCGATTTCGAACGTACCTCAATCCTGGGGCGCACTGCATGGGCCCAGAAGTGGCTAATGTCTCTTGTCGAATTTGTCCACTGGTGACAGGAGCTGGTGCTCGAGCACAGCTGTAACCCCCAGGCTGATTGTAGCAAACCTCTTGGCCACAAATGTCCGTCTTTTCTCTGCACTCGTCAATATCTAAAAGATAATTTCAATGACAATACGTTTCAATTCAAATTATAATTAATAAATGAATTCTTAACAATGAAAAAGGAACTGCACACACGGGGGAAAAAATTGTTCGAGGCTTAAGAACAACTTTTTTAAGAGATCCTCCATTAATTTTGATTATTCTTCAGCTAGGAACTCAGAATGCGAAATATTTTCTGCCTTCTTGGAGTTTGTATTGAGAACATTAAATGACACATAAAAGAGACACACATAGCAAGCGTCAGCAGAATTTGCACAAGTAACACTCAAATTAATATTATATTGTTATAATTTTTGGTTTTGGGTTTAAAAGGGTTGACATAAGTAGCTTACCATATGTTTTAATATTTTGAATGCTATCCAAGTACTTATTACAGTTTGTAACTGAAAACTCTAAATTCTGATATTTTCAATGAAATTTTTCAATGAAATAGCATTTGAGATACAAACCTATTTTGATGAAAAATAGAAGAGAAAAAAAAAACAGAAACTCGGTACAGTTTCACCCAGAAATACCTCCACATTGTCTCCTCATAACGTCATACCGATATCCTGGAGGACAGGCAGGTCTGCTCCTCTGAGGGCTGATGATCTCTACAGGTCGTTCGCACCTGAAGGATCCCTTGAGGTTGATACACCTCTCCTGCAACCTGTGGTCACATGGCGATCCCCCAGGTTTCTTGCACTCGTCCACATCCTCACAGCCTCTGGTGAGCAACGAGTACGCGTACCCATCCTCGCATTCAGGCAGACGAGTGATGCAGTCGAAACCACCAGGTCTATTGACGCAGTACTGGTGGTACTCCAGTCGACAATTGTGAAGATTGTCGAGGCACTCGTCGACATCGACGCAGGACCTGTCGAGAGCCCTGCGATATCCTGGTGAACAGGGGGGCACCTCGAGGCATACGAACGAGCCATTGGTATTGTGACAGGAGTGAGTGGGCTGAGAGCAATTGTGGCGCCCCAGGAGGCACTCGTCGACATCCTGACATGTCTTCGTGATCCTGTCGAAGTACCAACCAGCGTTGCAGAGGAGATGACAGTCGTATCCCCCAAGACGATTGACACAGCGCTCGTGCTCTTGGCATCCTGGGCCCCCTGAGCACTCGTCGATGTCTGCACACTTGGCGCCATCAAAGCGATATCCCGGAGGGCAGGGTCTCTTCAAGGACTGAAAACGCTGTACCTCCGGTGTCAGAGACTCCCTCTGCACAATAAAAAAATTCTGGCGTTGAAACTTCAATGAAAAATGGATAAAATGACCTGAGGATCATTTATCTCCAAGACTTGCGGTTTTAAAATCAAAATATTCTATTTAATTTAAATTTAACATAAACACATTGTTTTCGATTTATTAACTGTTGTAACACTACCGTTTTATCGGTACGGGAAAGAAGATTCTGCTTCTTGGAAACTGCGGAGGGCTTGAAATTTGTCACTTCGTTGCTGATATTCTCCACGTCATCATCGTCTGATGATCCTAGTTTCACGCATTTGTATCCACCAGGGCCATTGACGCAGGTGGGTTTGTCGGTGGGACACATAATTTTCTCTTCGACGCATTCGTCTATGTCTTTGAGGGGATGATTGTCATTAGATGTTCCTTGGGGATGGGGTACTTGCATGCGGGGTCCTTCCTCATGCCACGTGCATCCGTTAAATTAGAGAATTATTGGAATTTCAGAATTTTCAAGTTACCGATGCAGATTCCCAGGTTTCGGCTGAAGGTGAAACCCTTGCGGCATTGGATATCGCACTCGTAGGCACCTTCTGTGTTTCGGCAGGTTTCCACCTCCTGGAGGCAACCGTGGAGACCTTCTGCGCATTCATCTACGTCTGCAGAGATTTAATAAGTGAAAAAATCATTTTCTTTATTTGGAATTACAACTGATACGCTTTCTCTTTGAAATCCGTAATTCTTTTAGCTGTTCTTTCACTTCCCTGCAATTACCTTTGCACCTTTTTTCAAGAATTTCAAATTTAAAGCCAGCAGGACACGTTTTCGATGCTGTTAATTCATGACAGGTAAAACTTCCTTGTGTATTGATACAAAAGTGAGTACCATTGGGGCATAAGGATGTCTCAGGGTCAGAGCACTCATCGATATCTGAAATGCTCGATAAATTAAATGATTAATCATTTTGGAGATAAATTGATGATTAATTTCTAATACTAAACTTTATTGCACTTGATTATCAATCTGCATGATTCTTATCGATAATGGCATTCTTTGAAATCGAAATTATCGGATAGAATACACCTCTCATTTTCTCAATGTTAATACTTATTCTGGTCTTAATGAATAATTAATTTATCTGATTACCTCCGCATGTATGAAGCGTTTTATCCCACTGATAACCCGGTGGACACGTTTGGTGCCCATCATCCCCCTCTTCTTCATAATCTTCTGATCTTGCTATTGGGAGATTATTTAAATAAATGCATGAGCCACTTTTACAATAGCTAAACAATTCGCCTGACAATCATCGACTTTTAAATTTTTTCTTAAACACCAATCCACTTGGGAAAACTAATTACTCTTTTAATATCATTTACTTTTGATTTCCATTTATTGGAGTTGTGTCAATATGATTGAAATATTTTCTTTCTGGTAATGAGCAGACGATTTACAGAGGCTAAGCATTTTGACGATGCACAGACGATAATTAAGGCGTAATTATTAAGGATTAATTACGTACCATTGCAGGAATTTGTGGATGGATTGTAGCGATAGCCTAGGGGGCAGCGAACTGAAGACTGGGGTTTTGTGGTTCCTTCTGGAGTCGTTGATGTTGGTGTTGAAGTTGATGTTGGTGATTGGCTGGGGGTTGCCGATGAGGATGACGAGGATACGATGGGTTCATCCGTTCGACAGGTTTTCTCATCTTCGAGGAGAACGTATCCCTTGGGACACGCGCAGTGATAGGATCCTGGAGTGGGAACACAAATGTGGGAGCAGAGAAGACCCTTCAACAGCTTGCAAATGTCGTCTAGAACTGAGGAGATCGTTAATTAGTATTTACGTTGAGGGGAGAGTGGGGCATATTTTTGAAAACAATTTCAGAATTATAAATTTTCAGGAAATTTTTTCATTGTCATTTTTAACTGTCATTTTTTTAATCTGATATTCACCAGGTGTTGGCAGATTGTCAGCAGTGGAGGAAGAATTCATTCCCAGCGTTGATGGGAATGCACTAAAATCCATTGAATCAGTTGAGGTAGTTGAAGGGGTGGTTATTGTTCCGTTTGCAGTATTTCCGGAAGATCTAGTCTGGGCCTGATTGGTAGTCGATGTGACACCAGTGGCTTCGTTACAGCATTCCAAGAACACGGAGTCCCAAGGTTTTCCAAATCGAAATGCTTTGAACGCACAATTTTGCCCGAGAGATCCACTTAAAATTCCTAAAACCAGTTATTAAACGAAATTATTGACGAGACTTGGTAGATGACTAACAAAAAAATTCCTGTTATCTCGTGTACCGAGTTTGCAGCCTTCACAGCAGTCCTGTTCATACCCATCACTGCGTCCTCCACCAACTCCTCCTGAGCTCTCACATCCTAATCCTTTCCTCGCCTTGTCCTTTCCCTTTTCACAATTTTTCCGGTGATACTCCCGATTGCAGCAAATATCAACAGTCTCGAGGCACATTCCCTGTTCAACAGGGGGGACCCCCGAAACAGGGCCCCCAAATTTCTCGCATCTGAGTCCCTCCGAGGCCCAAGAAGTCCCCAAACCGCAGCACTTCTCAAACTGCTCCTCCATCCGTGTGTCCGCAGCATCTCCTGTTCATCCCACATAAACAATCATAATGAATTATGTGCTTTAATTGTTTATCGACATTTCCGTTGGATAAAAAAATTAGTTATCAATTGTCTACAGAAGTCTCGTTGATTATTTCGTGATAAGACGATCTGATATAGTCTATACGCGCAATCTGGAGCAAGGCTTTGCCTTTGACAGCTTGTCACAAGACTTTCGTCGTCAACAACAATAATAATTTATCATTAGAATTCCGAGAATTGACGAGGAAAGTCATGGATCCAGTGATGTTCGAAATTCTATGCGATTTCCCAATTAATCTTCAAATACAAAACAATTTATGATCTATTCAACCAGAAGCCGAAGAGATTCAACACAATTATGAGTCGAATCGATGATAAGCCGTATAATAGATTCAGACTGCGTAATTCATGAATGAAATCTTGAACCGTTCGTCGTTGAACAGATTAATAGTAATGAAATTATTATAGCATTGTTATCACCACCCTCATGACAGTGCAATCAAGCGCAATTGAACTCTCCGATATTCTCAATTAACAACCGCATTAATGAAATGCTCTCAGGATAATCTCCAGGGAATAATGAATTAATTGATTAAATGCTGCCTACCTTGCTGATGAATCCAACTGATAATTGAGCAAATGATGAAAACAAATGGTTTAGTCCCCATACTGGAGCGAATCATCAGATGTGGTGTTGAAATATTAGGAATGACATAAATAAATTGACACTTTATCAAGAAATCTTCTGAAATTGGTGATACAGTTTCTCGAGGGACACGTGCTACTACCAGTAACTGCTAATAACGAACTGGAGCTCTCGCTGGGAGTCTGATCAACTACTACTTGATAGTTACTAAAACGTTAAGTCGTGTGGTGGTGGATGTAGCATTGGGCTTCCTCTTCAGCCAATACGATATTTCTAATATCTCTCATTCGTTGACAGCCGGTGGACCTTTTTTTTTTTTCATGCCTCGTGCTCATCCGGATGTCCTTGAAGTACCAGATGGCTGGTGGCTTGGAAATGGAGAAACGGAGTCTTTGTGAAAAAATTGATGTCTTCGTGTGGACACTTGTTCTCGACGCTTTATTCTCATGAGGGGGGACAAAATGTCACATGTGTTGACGGGGAGAGAACAGACTTCCCGGAGACTGCGTTCGTAATTTGGCTCTTCTCGTGGTTGACCTTCAGACTTTATTTTTCATTTCAGATTTTTAGTGCAAGTTTGGAAATTGGTGGACAAGTCCCAAATTACTTTCCACTTCATGACTCTTTTAGAATTAGTTGGCAATCTATTTTTTCTCGTTGTTATTTATCATTCTATTTATTTTTATTATTTATTAGTGCATTCAGTGCAGAAGAGGGAAAAGAGATAAGTTTATCCGCGTGCCTGATAATAATTATGTGGTGGGATTTTTTGGATGATAATGCCCTGTTATAATTATAAAAGTATCTAATTAACTTTGAACAATTACAGAATTTATATTGGTAAACAATTAAAAGAGATGGGTAAATATTTGGAGCCGTTGACTTTTTGTAATTTGTAAAGAGTGGAATAAACTGAAGTCGAGGGAATGAATTTTTCATATATTAATTATTCAGCAGGATTTATTAGAGAGAATTTAATTTAGTAACATCAATGTTTCTTGTAGTTTGATGATTTTTTGTCGAAGCCGGTCCACTTGGTAGTTAAAGATAAGAATGAGTTTGATCGCTCTTGAGTGCCATCCAAAGATCCCTGGGAACCTGAGAAAAATAAAGGGCCTTCGCACACTGAGAAAACAAATTATTCTTTATTTTATAAATGAATTAAACTATTCGCTCATCAGCTTACGCAATTCTCCAATAATTTAACCCAAAAATTAAATGAGTAGATCCTACAAATAAATCATATAATTTCAAAAATAATGGAAGTTTCAATAAATTATTTAAAATTATTTCCAATTCTTCAGGGGAAATCGCAGAAATGATTCCACAGATTCCAAGACGACATTCCATTTTAGATAATGATTTTCAATTTGATAGTGAATGAATGGATTTGTAAAATTTATTATTGAACCAAGTGATTTCAGAAATCATTGCATTTAAGATAATCAATATAAATTTATAAACTTCATCATGTTAAAGTCCTCAGTCTTATTTACCATCATTACCTTGAGCTGAATTTTTGGACGATACGTAATTTCGAAGCTGTCCTATCCACCCTTCCTCCAATCGCTCTCGAAATTTTGGTGTAGTAAATGTGTAGAGGAGAGGATTAACTGCGCTATTTACTGGGAGTACGAAGATCACAACCCATGCGTGAAGATCCGCTTGAAAAACAAATGTGAGAATTCAGTAACGAGGTCATAAAAAGAGGTAAGTCAAATATCGTATAATTTTTTTGGAAATATCTCGAGAAATGAGCGAGATAATTCAATTTCCATTATGACCTCGATAAAGTAGGTGAGTTAATTATCTTTATTTATGTATAATAACCAATCTTTATTTATTATTTATTTAAATAAATAATCATTTTTATAATTATCTGTTGATACTCACGTGGAACAGGATATTTCAGGAATGCAAGAATTTTAAGGACGATAATTGGCGCCCAACAAGCAGCATCTGTCAGGACGATGAAGAAAAATCGTAGAGCAAATTCTGAATCCCCGACGAACAACGGAGTGTTGTGTCTAGTTCGCCAAATACTGGCGAACATGCCTGCATATACGTAGCCAATTGTTATTAGCCTGTTGTAAAAAAAGAAATTGGTCATTTGAATTCATTCGATTGCTAGAGAAAAATTCCAGGAAAAATCTCTTGATTCAATTAATTCCAGATCCCAATCGCCTTTTCCTATAATAATAATAATGTTCGCACGTTTTTCGTTAGTTTTTTCGTTATTTTCCGAGTTTTCAAGAGAAATATGTTCAAGTGAAGTCATTCATCGAGTCAAAGATTGATAGGAAATGGTGGAATCAAGTGACTTTTCATGAAAATATAAAATTGAATTGTCTGAGTGTTGATGAGAAAGTTTAGGTGAAATTTTGTTACCCTAGCAGATTAACCCCGAGGAATATGAACGCTGAATATTCCCACCCTATGAGGAAGGGGTCGTCGATGTGTAAAGGGAAACACATTCCGTTGAGACCGTAGAAACGGGTACTGCTACGCCAGTGGATTGCTTCCAATAAATATTGTTATTTATTAATATTTTTTATATTCCTACATGTCAATCAGATTAAATTGTAAGGAATTAAAATTGTAAGACAGCTATCAGTAATAACTGATCCATAAATTGGTAAACTGAAAGAAATTATTCAGAAATCGGAAAGATCTTTTGCTGCGAGGAATAAAAGCTGTTTGTTAGTTAAATTAATTACATTTATTGCATATATTGCATCTATTACCATTACCTGGTATAAGTGCGAGGAAAATTCCACTGATCCATATGAAGATCATGGAAAATCCAGCAGTTTGTGGTGTCAGTGCTCTCTGCTGTCCCTTCAAGGGTGCAGCGATCAAGATGAATCTCTCGATGGACATGAATGAGAGGATCAAAACTGACACTTCGGAGGAAGTCATTGCGAGGATTCCCAGGAATGTGCAGCCCCAGGAAGACATCCATTTGCTCGCCTGTTGATTGTACGTGTCTCGAAATTGCACGTCAACGAGACCAATGATAAGAAGATAAATCCCCATCAGCATGTCAGAGACTAAAATCGATAAAATTCGTGAAACCAGAAAAATTACTCGATTCAATGTTTCATCGAGGGACTCCATGAGAAAAAAAAATTCAGGTTACTTACGAGAGAGAGAGATTTTCTCTGTAATTGGGATGAATCAGACAAAATGATTTGTAATTTTTATGAATGATAGGAAGGATTAAAGGAATAAATCAATTTAATACGTAAATTACCTGCGAGATTTCTAATGACAATACTTAGGACACGATTTTCATCTTTCGCTGTGAAACGACCCCAGAGGACGAGGGCATTACCCAGACATGTCACCGAAGATATACCCCACACTGCAACTTTCAGGAGAGGTTTTCCAAGGAGATGAGATAATGAAGAAACACCTGTGATTAAAAAATCGGAACAAACTTATACGAAATAGATGGAACAGATTCAAAAGGAAGATAAGTCTCTATTAATTAATCAAATGTCTCACTAAAAATTAAGTGTCTAACTAAAATGCTAACTAAAAATGAAAATTACTCATTATTTCGCACAAGAAAGAAAAGATGTTCCAATTCCAATTTTCATTAAAGGATTTATCATTCATTTTTATCACTAATTATCGCAATAGATTTGGAATTTATTTCTCAAAGCTGAAAATGTCTCTCTTGCGCATCCATTTAATCATTTTACATAATCAAAGTGAAATTAATTACTTCTACATATCTTACCATCACTTGCTGGCCGACAATGTTGAACATTCGGTGCGTACGTAGTGCAGTAATGAAATTTCTTGAAATACCTGAATAAGTCCAATTTAAGTTTTAATGATATAAATTGACCTAAACAATTGTTGAGGTGATTTTCACCCTGAGACAATACTTTTCCAAATAAATTGCTAATAAAAAAAAAATCCAGTTCTCTCACTCCATCAATTCTGCTAATTGCCAATTACTGTAATTGATTTCCATCAATTATAAATAAACTTACACAAACTCTAAATGTTTGAATGTTAAAAGTGCATTTTTCCCGGAATTTTCCATGTCGACTTCCTCCAGACCCCTGGAAAGGACAGTATAAAATCATCGCGTCTCTTTTCGCTAATTAAATTGAAATAATTGAACAGTACGTACAAAGAACGAAGATTAATGAGTCCCTCAAAAATCAATATCTTCAGATTTTCAATGGGATTGTATCCAATCAAGCTGCGAAATAAATAAATCCCCTGTCATATCATCGTCGTACATATTTGTAGGATAATGATAGTTCGTTTATTATGGGAACTAGTGCATCTGCTCTGCATGGAAAATGTTGAGTACTCATGATTACGGTACAGACACGAATTAAGGCTTAGGGCATACAATGTGTCACGTGGTTTTTCCCTAAATTACTCAGATTTCAATTATTCTCATTATCATTAATACTCACAGCTGCGTCAAATTCACGAGGGGATTGAACAAGTGATCCGGAATTGCTGTTAATTTGTTATCTGCTAGATTTCTGTAAAGATAGGGAAAATGGTTAAACAATTGCTCCGATTTATTATGGAAAATCATTCGTGAAATTTTTAGAGATTTACTTATGACAAGTTCACTGACAACAATTCATTTGACAAGACGAAATTAATATTTACTGATTCATTTAACGTCTAATTGAATTGCTTACAATTCCGTGAGGTCACTCAGGTTTGCGAATGCATTTGCCTCAATTGTTGTTAATTCATTTCCCTCTATGGTTCTGTAAAAAATATTTGATTGAGTCGATTAATCTGATTGAGAAGTTCCCGATGAAAATTGAATTAAATTCCTCTAATCATCGAGTCATTAAAGTAAAAGTAATTTCTAGTTTATAGCAATGTGAGAGAAGGACTGGTGTCGATGTAAAACAAGTCAGTGAAAATAATAATAAATAAATACAGAAGATGATTAAAAAAATTAAGAATTGAATTACGTAATGAGTTTCAGTAATAATAAATGGTAATTTTACTTACAAAGAGCGCAAAGAATACATTCCAGCCAAAAAATCACGGCTAATTACTCGTATTTTGTTATAATCCAGTTGTCTAAAAAATAATTATTGTTTACTCTCGCTAAATACAAATTCTCCATAGAAATATTAAAATAAAATCGTACAATTCTCTCAAAGCCGGAAGTACTGGAAATAGAAGAGTCTTCTCCGTCAGAGAATTATTGCTCAAGTTTCTGTAATTCACAACAAAATAATTTCACTACAACAAAAATTACCCCAATTCCTATTTTTTAAAATTGAGAATACATTCTAAAAATATTCAAAAAAAATACGAGGCCTTGACCCTTTTGCAGAGTTATCTTCATTGTTTTTGGAAATGATAATTCGATTGCAATTGCACACTTATAATTTTAATTAACATTTCAATATTCGTAATTTTTACATTCTATTTATATATTCGGGATGTGAATATGTTCTTCTGAAATTTCATGAGCGATTTCGTAATGGTTCAAATAGAATACTGAGACTTACAGTAATTCCAGTGATTGACTGCCTGCGAAATCCGAAAAATCTGCTTTATTAATACGATTATTATCCACTCGAAGTGTCTCAAGGGATGATAGTCCCTTGAAATGCCCAGGCCGAATTTCCTTGATGGAATTATTAGTGAGAATTCTGCGGTCAAGAAATAAAATTGAGAAATTCTTTGAGTAAACTTGAATTTCCGTATCTATTCCATAACGTTGAGCGAAAATCGTATGAAAAATTACGATTCTTCTTCAATGTCATGTGATTTCCGAGATTTCGGTATTATCTTAGTGGACTTTTTGGAAATTTCATTAGGAATTTATGAGAACTCACAACCAGTAGAGCCTGGGCTGTCCCGAAAACGCTCCCACTTTCAAATCTTCAATTCCATTGGACAGCAAGAATCTATTGAATGAAAAATTGATTACTATTGCGTGCATGATTGGAAGTTTTATTATCGAAATTACTCACAATGATCGGATTTCTGTGTATCCCCGGAGGACATCCGACCGAACTTCGTTGAAATTATTGTATGATAAATTCCTTCAGAAAAAATGTTCATGTCAATGCGAGAATTAATGATTGCAATAGTTTGGTCATTAAATAAAATATGATGAGAAAATCAATGACGAAAATATCAAAGAACAAATTTCGAAATGAATTCCGGAAAATTATTTCAGAAAAATAAAAAATGAAAAATTGTTGATAATGCACGGAAAGAAAAATACCGGAAAAATTACGGAACTTTCTCGTATTCGTGGGGTGACCCTGGTTTTCGGGAAAAAATACTGTAAGTTCCGTAAAAATTTTCGTAGCGAGCAGGAATTTTTACGAAACTTTCAGGACAATTTTACGGTACCTCCAGTAATTTTTCCCGAAAAGCAAGGTCACCCCACGAATACGCGAAAGTTCCGTAATTTTTCCGGTATTTTTTTCTCCGTGTGGAAGACAATTTTATCTTACACTGTCGTCACGTTGGGAGATAAATTCCGAGGTATTGCGGATAATCCTTCACATGAGACTTTGCATCCATTGCAGTGACACTCTTGGACAGGACAATCTGAAGACTCGATAGTCCGAGTAATTAATGAAAAATCATTATCATGCACAGAGAAAAAGTTGATCGTAAAATACAGATAAAAATTTAGAGCTTACGACTAAAAATAATTGGCTTTCTCTAACGCAAAGTTTACGATTAACTTTTTTTGCGTGATGAATCTAGATTTTTATTTGAAATGAAATAAAAGAATTACCACAAGTGAAAAGAGGCGGTTTCGGTCGTTCCTTCAAGAACCATTCCCAATATCCGTTGGCGTCAACTAAATTCACACGATTTTATAAATAAAAATGCATTATCAATAACAAATAAAAGAAATAGGATTGAAAATAGTCAATTGACAGTCCCTCCAAGATTTTATTTTCTGATTGCTATTTTCTCCTAAAAATACGTATATTTTTACAACAACAAAATATTCTCTTATCAATTCACAAACATAAAATCGCCTGATACGATTATCATTATCATATTATCAATTAGTCATAATTTCTCGCAATGAGACAATATATCTTAGAGCACAAAATGTGGGAGAATCAGGATCTTTTCCTGCTGAGACGTAAGGAGACCCCCAGGAGATTCCACAATTTTTAAAATTAACAGGATAATAATATAATAATAAACAGGATAATTTCTCTCAAGTAAAGTCGACTGGTGAAAATAATCTGGCTTTCAGGATAATTAGAGTAATTGAAGAATTGAAATTTTCAACAACTCACAGCAATGTGTGGAGCTCTCATCATCACCTTCTGGGCAATCGTCATGACCATTGCACCAACTGCGTTGTGGCATACAAATTGTGGTGTTCTGGCAGAGAAATGTTCCCACGGGACATTTGTCTGCAATACAAATGTATTTCACTTGTCACCGTAAATGGATTGATATTCTCCATACATTCGAAATTTTCCTCTCCCGCTTCACTCATTTCCAACATCACTAATTTCGATTGAACGATCAAAGACACGTGGAAGACATCAATTGTCGGTTCATTTCATTCGTCAACATCAATTTATCACCGAAGTAACAAAAATAAGGGGGCGGACAGTTGATTTTTCCATGTCAAACGGTTCTTCAATTAATCTACATTCGCAAATTACCGTAACTCCATTCACATAAAAAAATTGGAAATTCGGATTCGATTCGGATGGACTAATTCACGGATAATTCACTCACCTTGATTGAAGTAATACATCATTATTGCTAGTCCTAAGACTACGGCGATTAGAGTAATTCCGGTAATAGCGATGCGTTTACCTCTCATAATGAATTATTGAATTACTGAGAATATGAAAATTCGAAATCAATGATTGTTTAAACCATTTTTTTCACCCGATTAGAACGATTTGTTATTCATTTGCCGAACCGCCTACGATGAACTTCATGGGAGATTGAAGTTGAAGCTACAATCGCACCAATGACACTAGTTGCATTAACAATATGAAATAGATGCATTCGCTATTTTCCCTTTCTTCCCATCATTACAAATAGAGCGCCGATTGCGATATTACGCACACGCGCCCTTTCAATCTTGCAGGCAGGTGCATCCAGAACTTTTTAACAAGTTTTTACTAAATATTTACACCTACCTACATTTCATATACAACTTGAAAAATAGTATGAAAAAAAATCATTTAAAAAATGAAAAAATATATTTAACATATATTTTGGAAAAATCTTGATATGCATTTAAGATTTTCAAGATCGTCAAATATTTGATGAATTATAGTTTTTGTGTAATAGTTTATTAATTAAGTGTCTCTGTCCTGACATTTGTTTTAAGCAATATATTTTTTGAATAATAATAATTGTTTTACCAGTTGATAGTCTTCTTCCAATAGTCAAAAAATATCGTAATGAGATAAAAATTAAATAATCGTGAGCTGAAAGAATAAATGTTATGAAAAAACCTGTAAATGAAACTTTATTGATCATTCCATATTTTTAATAAGGAAGGTAGCAATAAATAAATGCGAGAATTGTTTAAGGTGACGGAAGAAAAATGTATTTTTCCTTTATTGATTAAAGAAACACGAAGTACAGAGGATGATACATTGCCACATGATTAACCTGAATATAACATACATGACGCAGTGTTTCTTTATTTTATTTTCATATAAAACGAGAATTGACAATTATGATTTAGGAAATATACTTCAAATCGAATTAGACGTTCATTTGAATAATATACTTATGAATACCTCTCGTATATCGATATATGTGATGGTTATTTGCCTATTGAACCATCGACGAAATAAAAACGCGGATAAAATCCCATCAATTGCTACATCGATTTATTTCACATTGTTGATTAAATTTTGCATAATTCAATCAGAGCGATTGATCGATTTTCCTCAAATAATCCGCAGTTGTAATCTATCAATTCTCAGCGATTGATAAACCCCAGAAAAATAATTACTAAACTTAACTCTTGTTATAATAAATCACCTTGCTATACATCATCACAACAGAAAGAGAAACGCCCACTCGCTACACACACGTTACCATCTTTGTTGCAATTATATTTCCAAACGTCGTCATTCAGGTTTAATTGTCTCGAATAGTCTCTAACACGGACGAATGATCGAGGCATACTATACATTTCGTTGATCAGATCATTATTTACATGTGCCATCACTTCTGGGGTTGATTAGTCGTCTCATCTCTGGTAATTCCAGTATTGAATCCATTTTTAAAATCATAATCCTCCTCAATCAACGAATAATCTCGTGAGGGACACAATTGAGGTGAAACTATCAAAAAAATTTCTCACGCTTAATAGAATTTTCAACAGAAATTTAATCAATTAACTCCTGACATCGACATTCACTAGTTATATGCTCGTAAAAACTGATTATTCACTTTTAATCATTCGATTACTTCTCGACTTCTCGTTACCTAATTATTTTCTCTTTGATTTTTCCAGAGAGCGATGGAAAATCGGACCTATCCAGAGGTGCATTAAGTATCATCTCATAAATTGGAGTGCAATCTCCATTTTTCGTCCACTCTTTATTTCTCTAGAAGTCAAACAAAATGCCATCCAATCACTTCTAATTTACAAAAAGAAAAAAAGAAAAAAAATTACGATGCTCAAAAAAATATAGCAATGTACATGCGCAAAAAGCGTTGCAAGTTACGTCGCTCTTGATTCAACTTTTATCATAGATATTGTTACGTCAAATGATTAAAGTCCTTCCAAGGTTGTATTGGTACGATATAATACCGATAATTCACGCCGTGGTACTATTTAGGAGTTTTAAAGAGATGTTCTCAGTAACTCTTCATGCTCCCTCTCCCACCCCCTCCTATCCAAAGAATTATTTATTCTGATGGTCTACACAGAATCACCAATTAATGAATTCGAAACTGTAATCACTGCATTATTTTTAGTGAATGACAGATATATTCATTTCATTCATTAGAAATAATATCATGAGTGCTATATGAATGAATGAAGCTTCAAGATTTGAGTCCGGTAAAAGGGAAAAACTAGATAAATTTTCTGAAAATCGAACCAATATTTAAAAATTTTCATATAGAATTTCTTTTATTGCCGTTGACGAATTGAATAAAGAGTTATTTATTACTGCTCATGAGAAATAAATATGTATTCATGATTCATCTAATCATTGTACTGATTGTCGAGTTCAATAAAAGAAATTTACACGAATTACTGAAATAAATAAGACTCTGAAAATGACTACAAAAATTGCTATCCATTAATTATCGGTAACTCGTACCAACGTGGTCTTCCTCGAGCGCGAAAAAAATTTGTAGAGTGTAAATAATAATGAAATTACGTTGACAACGTATCGTGAGAGTGACGAAAAAAAACGTAGTATTCGCGATTTTTTTTTGTTCGATTTTATTCCCTCATGTGAGCAACATCAAAAAAAGTGCTCGATTACGATAACCTGGGGGGTAGTAATCCTCTCCTCCCCGTTGTCCCCTCCCATCACTTACCAATTGATTAAATCGGTTGTGCCGAGTCCGAGGAATCTAAAGATCATCTAGATTACGTCTAAAAGATGATTTAATTTTATACTTATGTTCTTCCATGTCAACGCATCACCAAAAACGTTGGACCGTTGGATATTGGGAGCGAGGAAGATTGAATCAGGTTGGGGCTCGATTAGTGGGCAGTGGACAATGGCTGGAGAGTGGCTTATTCTCTAAATAACCTGAACGTGAATCCATAGATTGGTGTATTCTTATGTGACAGTCGTAATTCCGTCAAGTGCATACTTCCTGGGGGACCGTCGAAGTACCCGTTGATGTCTCCTGAAATCATCAATTGATATCAATAAGTATATCATTGAGGGTTCAGCGATTGATTTCCTAAAGCAGACCAGCTAATTCCGATTGCACGACAAAACGACAAAAGAAGAATTAAAATCAAACAGTTAAAATACTTGACTATCAGATTATGAAGGATTACTGTGGAAACTTACGTCCTTGTTAGTTGTTAAATTCTGTTTGTATTCATCAAGACTGAAGCCAGAGTTACTGTCCTCTCCGCAGGGCTCTCCCGGAAACGTCCCATTCTCTGTCTGCAGAAGACAATACATAATAAAGAAAATTGTAAGACATCAATGATGAGGATTTCCATACCTGCTTGATCGTTTGTTCGTTGTCCTGTGTCTTGCGTTTCTTCCCACCAGCATCGAGACTCTCATTTGAGAGACGTCTTATGCTCTCTGTTTGGCTCTTGGAGGTAAGTCCACTTGCTTTCTCCACAGATAGACTTCCATTACGATGTCCACCACCCGAAACCTGAGGAATAATAAGAGTTAGAATAACCTGAGGAGTAATAAGAGTTAGAGTAACCTGAGGAGTAATTTTCATCAGAAATCTCACCTTTCTTTCACGTTTAAGTAATTTCGGTGATAAGTAATTATGCAAATCCTTCCTCTTCACGTGTTTTGCTTCGATCCACATTCCATCTTTCAACATACTAATCTGTTCTGCTTGCCTCTCAACTATAAGAAGAAAAATAAATAAGTATTCTTCATTCATGTTTCGACAATTCGTAATGAGAAAGTAGAAAAATTGATGTCAACATTTTCTCAATTTCTTTGAAAAAAAAAAAAAAAAAAAATCAACACAGAAAATTGAGGCTACTTACTCGTATCAACGAATGCTTTGATGTCATACGTGAGATCAACATTGAGATTCTCACTCTTGGAGAATAACAAACCGATGAACCACATTGAACAATTACGCCCCTGCTCAGGGGTTACTGGTGCATGTCCTTCCGGATTGACGTGGGCAAGAGTAATGTGTTGATTTCTCTCCAATGTTCCTAGAAGGTATTTGAATGTTCAATTAGGAATAATATAATAATAATGAAAACTCATTAATACGATTTCCAATGATATTTTCTTCCACTCTCGCTTATTAATTTTAATTCTAGTTTGCACATACCTATTAGATGTCGTATTTTAGATTCGACCAGGCCACACCATTCGAGCTGGTCCTCAGCCGAGGAACTGCTAGCCAGCAAGACAATATAATGTTTATATTTACAAAAGAAATTGGGTGGATCGAATAGTTTATCCCACGTCGCTTTGCCCATGATTATTTCCTCAGTCAGTGACAGACCGTGCTCGAACGCCTCTTGCATTATCGTTCTCGTTGATGCTGACACGTTGAATGTGGAATTTTGTTGAGGATATGCAGGGGTGATTATGGGCATTAGGTGATACCGATCCGAAACGTTGACCTGATTTTTTAAGTTTAATTAATGTTTGTGAAATTAAATATGGGAAATTAGAAATATTTTAATGAAACCAGGGACTTACCCTTGGATCCCAAATTGGAAAACCTAGATTAACATTATCAGGTTGCTTGAGCAAAACTGGCTGAGGCCACTTCCACTGTGAAAATACGAGAAAAAATTTTTCAATTAATGTAGAAGCAACTGCATTGGGATACAATTGACACGTTCTCGCAACGAGCATTGCCCACGATACACCACCGAGGTAACCCAGAACATTGCTGTAAATTCCGTGCCCTGCAAGTACAAAAAAAAATTCTGTTTAGCCTGTAAAATATATAAACGAGTCTCGTTCATTGAAAATCAATGTATATCTTACGTTTCGCCCACAATTTAATGGCTCTGAGTGCAAGTCTGAAATTCTCTATATTAGGTACGAGTCTTAGGATTTCATCAGTGACACGACATCCATTGAGACTCCTCACACACTTCTGATCCAGATTCTTCAACAAGATGTCATCACGTAAATCCTGTAAAATAGAAGAGGAATAAGAAAATTTTAATTTTTTCAACATGCAAATTTATTTAATATCATTGATAATGATTTTAATTTACCATAGAATCAGGGATCTCTTTGAGGGCTAATTTGGCGAAAAGCATATCAATCTCAATGCCATCGAAATTCATCTTTATGACTGGCACGAAAGCTTCTTCCACCGCCTGCAATGATTAAATCAATCAGAACAATAAATAATAAATCCCGCTAAATGAAGAATCCTATGTATAAATAAACAAGTGACTCACCCTCAAATCAGTGACCTCAGGTTGCTTTTTAAGTAATTCGAAAAACGACGAGAAATAATCTGATCTGAAAATGTGCCTTGGGACAACACAGAGTGCATCGATATCAGCCCCTTTATGATGCACGCCTAACCTATAGGATCCGAAGGTATAAATTTTTCCACCAACATTTTCAGCAACATTAGGAGGCATATTCCTAGCAATCGACGTGTCCTTGATCCACTGTTTCACGAGGGCATTCAATTTACTGAAAAATAAAATGCAAAAAGGCTTTGAAATGAAAATATTCAATTTTATCTTGACTCAAGTCCAGTAGATGAAATTACGATTGAAAAAAATACCTAAGTATTTCCATTCTGTGATTCAACTCTTCCTCTGATTCGAACACATTATACGGTTTCAATGCTTCTCTGAGCTCGTTCGTTCTGGCTAAATCACTGGGTTTTGGTTCAGCAACACTTATTGCCGATGTCATACCCAGTGTTCGTAAATTTTGGGCTGATGCTGATGCATTTGTTGTTGTTGTACTATTATTACCACTTTGTGATGACCACATTTTGGATAATTCTGTTGGCTTCACCTACTCTACGAATAAAACAATCGAACTCCCCTGAATGTAGGGAGCATTCAAGGAAAACAATGAAATCTTGGTAATTTATCAACACACCACGATTAAAAACAAAATTGCTCTGTCAAACATTTAGTGACATCGTTGGAGGTTAGGTTTACTCGGGTCGCGTCAGACTCGACTGGTGATGGAACGCTGCAGATAGAATCGTGTGTACGAATTCTCAGAAACAGAACAGACAATTTAACAAAAGACACAATAGAAGTGAAAAAATTATCACTGTATCAATTAACGCCACTTTTGTGATCCACACGACAGTTTTGTTTATGAATTGTGATTTTTTTTTCACGTTGAGGTTTATCTCTGGGGCTTAAAAAACTTGACGCAACACATTCTCACACAACACCCTTTTTGAGGTTAGGGTCACATCAGCGCCATTGCTATTACGAGGATAGGACGCACTAATTTTTCCCCGAAACATGAGAGACAAGCCAAAATTGTTTTGGAATTTCCATATTAGAAACGCAATCTCCATTGATATCGTGCTTTAAATATTTTAAAGACTGGAAATTAAAATTAAGAGAAAAATAACTCAGAGTTGCATTTAAAAAATTTTTAATATTAATAATAACAGATCTCATTCATTTATATTGCATTGTTTACGTTTATTTATTAAGATTCTGATAATCGATAAGAAAAATGTAATAATAAATCAATTCATTAATTTGGTATCGATTTAGTAGTAGGAATAAGGCACTGAGTAATCCGATGTGCAATTAATGTGTCATTATAACATTGGTAATTGTATTTTTACTGAAGATTTCGATCCAGTAGCCATCCGGATCTTTTATGAATGCAATCCCCTTCATTTTCCCATCCTGTGGCTTCTTTACAAATTCAACTCCTAGTTCTTCGAATCTCTTGCAGGCTGCATCGACATCGGGCACACAAAGACCGATGTGACCTTAAAAAAAAAATCATTTAGAGATAACCAATACTTCACAATCCAAATAAAATCCTTAATATAATGGAAAATAAACTAAATAAGCTATAATTTTTATAACGAATCTGGAGATTTCCTGGGTAAAAACAATTTGTTAATGATTTTTTATCCGTGTAATATTGCGGTAATTCGCACGTGTTCATACCAAATCCTCTCGGGTCAGTATTGCCGTTGTGGTATGTAATATCTGGATCTACCTCACTTCCCCAATTACTAGAAATAAAACAATTCGTGTGTATAAATAATTAGAGCTATCAATATGTAATAAAGGGGGAAAAGAAAATGAATAAATTTTTATCCGCGATGGGTTAGCAATAATAAGATAACAATTGAAGGATACGGTATTGGAGGAATTTTACTTGTTGAAATGTAGAACTCACTGTGTCAATTCAATTGTTGCTTTTCTAGAGAATGTCCATTCTAAGCTCTCCTTCCTGCCTTGAGGGATGTCTTCAGCTGCTTCGTACCCCATGAAATAAAGTGAGAATTTCATGTCTGGAAAGTCCAATTTTTGCAGTAATCTCATACCGAGCACTTTAGTGTAGAATGGCAATGACTTTCGGGGATCCTTGATTCTGTACATTGTTTGTTGCATGATGAATTGACTTGTTGCAGGTTCAGGCTCCAGGCAAAGCTCTTTAGCCTCATTGTTGGATAATCCTTCAGTTTCACCCATATTGGAAGACCTTGCTCACGTGGAGGTGAAGTCAAAGGGGATAGACCTGGAAAGAGTCCGGGAACGGGGACTTAATGATCAAAGAACAGATCTGGGTAGAGTTTCGGAAGTTTTGGTACCGACCGCAGGACAGGCAAGGCACGGTGGTCATGAGCAAAGAGGATTGACTAAAGTAGAGGCTTAGTTCTGGGGATTTGGGGGACCCCACCAGCCTCGTAGTACCCCACCCCAAGGGAGAGAGGGTGCCGCACGCAATGGTGGGGGGCCTGCCCGTCAGCCGATTCGGTAACTGCCTCAGTATGCCTCTGGTGGGGAACACGGCTACAAGTGGGGATTTCGGAGAGTGGGGGTTACAGCCGAGGTTACTCCTCTGACAATATTCACTATAGCAGTCCCGCTGTCAGAGGGATCAGTCGACGGGGTGAATATCATTTTCTGCGTTACAAAATTGGGTCTTGCTTTTTCTTATAAAATTCCGAATTTTCATATTTCAGTGAATACCTCCTCCATTTTTATGTTCCCCTGATACTTTTTTGAAAATTTTGAATTTTTCAATTTGAGTGAATACCTCCTCGATTTTCATGCTCCCCTGATTCATTTTTTTAAATTTCGAATTTTTCAATTCGAGTGAATATCTCCTCAATTTTCATGCTCTCCTAATACTTTTCCAAAAATTTCGAATTTTCAAATTTTAGTGAATATCTCCTCCCTTTTCAAGTTTCCCTGATACTTTTTCGAAAATTTTGAATTTTTCAAATTTCAGTGAATACCTTCTCCATTTTCATATTCCCCTGATATTTTTTCAAAAAAGTTGAATTTTTCAATTTCAATGAATACCTCCTCAATTGTCATGCTCTCCTGATACTTTTTCAAAAATTTAGAATTTTCACATTTCAGTGAATACCTCCTTCATTTTCATGCTTCCCTGATATTTTTTTGAAAATTTTGAATTTTTCAATTCCAGTGAATACGTCCTCGATTTTCA